CAACAGAGCTGCTTCATGGAAGAAGAACCTCAGCTTAGCCTGTTAGCTTTAGCTTTAGCGCCAATGCTATATGGCCTTATATATACAGTATTAGCTAGGCGCTAGCTCGACAAACTAACAAGCTAAACTGAGGTCCTCCATCCATATTTTCAGTTACAGGCTGAGTCATTTCTACCTTCTCCTCTCTGTCAACGCTCTCTGGTTTCATTTAAAAGAGTCGATCATCAGATGTTGTTCAAGATTAACCTTCAGGGTGGATATATCTCGCTAGCAGCCTCGTGCCGATGACCTAGTTGATGTCATCATTTACYCAGAATGCTTTGCGTGTAAATAAAATGGCCCCGTCCGTGTACTATGTTTTTAAACTTTTAGATTAAAAATTTAAAAACTGAACAGCCTACAGTATTTTTACAGTCTTTATTTTACAAAGTATATGTTTATCATATAAAGTCTAATGTTACAAATAAGTGGGGATCCCTTTAAGGTGCTATAGACCATTAATTACATCAGTGACTCTGCTCAGCATATGACACCCTGTTATTTGTTCAGGTGGGTGGACAGTTTCCACCTATCCGAACAAATTTGCGCTGCTGTAACTCTTCCCACATGGCACTCTTCTACAGTAACTAACTAATTACAGTGGGACACGTCCACAGAGATCACATCCCATAACCTACACAGCCACACACCAGATCCTGGCATGTGCACTCAATATTAGGCCTCTTAAACATTTTTTGATGGATGTTTATAATGTTCTGGCTGATAGTTGTGTAAGTGCAGACCATTTGTACTGTTTTTATTCAATGTTTGGCCTCAGAATTGTTTGCTGCAGTAACAAACATGACACATTTGTAAAGAAATAAGACTACTTAGAGCTAAATAATCAGACAGTTCTCTTGAATGCCAACACATTTGCAGTTACACACGTTTGTAATGTCTTTTGCACCAGTGTAGTTCTGTAGACTTAGAATTACATCTGGTTCTGGCAGACTGAAAACACCTTTGAATGGATGGTATGACATCAAATCATTGATGTTTTACTGTTTGTGTTAACTGTAGGGCTGCAACGATTAATCGACGACTAATCAATTATTAAAATAATCAATGACCAATTTAATAATCGATTAATCTTTTTTTGTTGTTGTTCATTACTTTGTTTTTCTCTCCAAACTGCTTTGACACCTTCCACTGCCACATCTACCTTTCTGTCCTTGACACACATGCACAGTAGTGGTAACTGGGGCAGGCTGTGGACGTCACAAGACATTATACAGACAGGCTCTGGTATCATGGCTACCTGACAACAGAGCTCAAAGTG